TTTCTTTCTTTCTTTCTTTATTTCTTATTTTTCACCTTTCACTTAGAAAGTAAAATTATGATTTTTATTTTAATTATCGGAATCATGCGTGTGACGAAGCTTAATTTTGGTTGCAATTAAGTCAATAACATATCACGACCATAAGCGTCATGGCTGATATGATCAAATGACAGGTCTCTCTTATATAGTGACATGAGTTCAGAGGCCTAACTAGTTGTGCTCATGATAAGGCACTAAAACTGCGTCCCAATTTACACATCTGATACCCTACCAAAAGTGCAAAGCAGACCTACTAGTTCAAAGACAAATCAAGACTGTTTCTTTTATTTACAATGATATTCACCTTGCACAAGGCCCAAGAGCCACTCAAGGTAGAGCATTACAGAGTAAGAAGCACCACCCCAAGCATGGTGGTAATGCCACCAAGACGCAAAGGAACACTGGATGTGAAAGAGAAGAAAATGACTTTAGACTGAACCGAAAACCTAATCCTAAACAGGAAACAATGGATAAAATTCTACTCCAGTTCAAAATACACTGGAGGAGTGTGAACCGAACGATATGCTAACCTATATACTTTTATTACCTATGTGTTATATTTTTATCTAAAGGGTATGTAAATTTTAATAATATAATGGTAATGTATAAAGATATTCTTTTAGAAAATTGTAGCAACGCAATTATAAAAAAAGAAGCTAAACCACAGACATAATTTAATTGTGACATATATTTTTTGCGAAAAAGTTTATAACAGCATCACAAGAAGGCAATTTTTTAATACATCATGGCGCTACAAAATCATCTTTTAGCATTTTAAATAAAATAAAATGCTCCACGGCAAGACGAATATTTTTAATTATCTTGGAAAATTTTTTTCATTGAGAAATCATGAAATATAATGGCGTTTCAAGAAGATATATTTAAATAGGTTGTTTTTCTGCTACAAGTATAAGTAAGGAATTAAAGAATGTGCGAGTTGGCCTAAAACTGCATCTTTCCTTCAAGGAACGATCCATGTTTGTCAATCAGAACCACACAACATCGAGGTCAATTAAAAAAAAAACATTTAAAAACAAGTCTGTTGTCTGAAGATTTAGTGCTTAATGTTTAATTAATGAATATTACACTACAAATTATTTGTTCAAAAGCGTCGTGGCATCGCACCTCACCCACTCCCAAGTGTCACCCAACGGCACGTGCTTGCTCTATTTGCCATAACGCTAGATGCACCACTGCATGGCTTGAGGAAGATACACCATGTCGTTGATCCTGGAATTAAGTCCACGACTCAGAATCAATTGAACAGCTATGTACACATCGTCAGGTGCTGATATGGAGTTGGTCAGAGACTAAATATAACAATATATGCGACCAATGGAACATTCACGGAGTATTTTTTTATCACATATTTTTTTTACACTTATATCGCTCTTCTCTGCTGTGTAGGCGTAGTTAAAGCAATTATTTGAAATAAAGAAACCTTATCTCTTATTAGGCGTTCTCCTTTTGCCCTCTATTCGATGCCTAACGTCCTGAAGATTTCCGGATTATATCAGATCGATATTATTACATGCTTCTCTCTTATTTGTAAATCTGATATTCATTTCGGTGATCCTATTAGTTTTAATTAAATGACAAAAAAGAACACTCATTTAAATTTTGCGTTAAGCAGCAGCAGTAAAAACTTCTAAACTTTAAAGATTACTCAAAATCTTGTGTCAACGAACTAAAAAAGAAAAGATCATGTTTACTCTTATCGTATTTCACTTTTCTTTTTGGAATCTTTTTTTTTTTTTGTAACCAAGTTCAATTTTGGGATAATTTGATTATTGCACAGAACAAAACAATTAATTTTAGTGCTGCCTTACATCCAAAGAATTCAATCGAAATTGGTAATATTTAATATTCCAATTCTCATGGCTACTGAGTGAGATTTATAAATGAAAATTATGATTTCAAATGCAGATAATTAAACTTTTTTTCTCCGGCAATGAGACTTATGGCTTTATATCCAAATATTGAAAAACAAATATTAATACCTCTATTTTTAGTTTAGATTCTTTAATAAAAATGGGATATTGAGCATTAATTAGTGAAGCAGTTAGTCAACTGCTTTCGATTGACGAGTTGAAACATAAGAAAATAAACGAACCAGTCATTCAATATCTTATTTCTTGTTACACTTGGTAAATATTGATTTTCTGTTCAAGATCATTTTCATCCCATTTATGAATACCTATGTCATCAATAGAGAATCCCCCCCTCCTCAGTACATTGACCTCGGGAGGGAAAGCGGGATCGTAAGATGTCTTCCAAAATTTCATTAGAATTAAAGAAAAGAGTTCTGAACTGCCATCAATCCTCATATATGGCAGTGAATGTTGGGTAATTTCCTCACGGAGATGTGGTCCTATAGACAAAAAATTGCGAATATTATCAAGGGAACATGTGAGCAACGAATGAGGTTTTAAGGCAAATGAGAACATAAAGGGCATTTATGTTTACAATCAGAATGCATAATAAGGAAAAGGGCTTGGAGAATCTGACACTCATGTGGCGTATTGAAGGAAAAGAGACAGACGGAAACATCGAATAACAAACAAATTTGTAAATTAATGGCAGAATAAAGATTGGGAGGAATAGTAAGGTGACAGGTATTGATTAGATCTACAGAGGATAGGAAATTGTGGAGAGCCATAATTGCTCACGTCCTGAAAGGACACGGCACATGAAAGAAAACATTCGTAATAGAAATGTTAAATGTAGAATAATCAGTCTTACAAATAATTAGAATTATGAATATAAACATCTGATAATTTTTCGGGGATAACAAATCATTTGATATCTCATAGAATACGACGTTTTGTAACAATACACATACTAGCCAATATTTGCAAAGGGAAAGATGAACAATTTACATAGGTGCGTTAATGCATCAAGTTCAGTGATACCTTTGTACCTGTTGCAGCATTCATCCGGTCGGTTGAGCCGGCTTCGTTTGACGGAGCCCGTTCAATCGAGCGACCACATCCGAACGAAAGCTACCCAAGAGTAGCAGTGATCGTATTCATTTGGACGTGAAAATCTACAGTAGGAATCTCAGTAGGAATTTGGGTTCACAACTGGTCCCCAGCCGCATGTATACGCACTTAAGGATAGTGCGATCCGGTTTGAAGTCAGAGTTTCCTTCTACTAGACTGGTTGCTATAGCACCCATAGCTGGGGACGAAGAGATGGATTCATACCGTTCCCAAGAGTATTAGCACGTAAATAAATGTAATATACTAGGCCCTCCGATTCCTCGAACCGAGCCACTAACCATTATTTCACTGTACCTCCATAGGTTCAGTGGTGGCTGACCGTTTGAATAAAAGCCATCAGTGTACCGGTCTTATTGCCTGGGCATGTACTTAGCGCTGCGTAAGGCTAATAATGATTATCACTTGAAAGGAATCAGTGTATGTTAAGTCCTACCAACCATATCTCTGTATGAAGGAGGAGTAGTTAAAGGGTTTAAAAGTAATTAGCCTTTTATGCAATTTTTTGCATATTACATTATTCTGGGTTTATATACTTTTGTAATCGCAGTCCACATTTTTTTTGTCTTCGATTGAGCTCTGATGAGAGAAAACCGATAAACAGGTTTAATCGTTATCACATTTCGTTATTACCATTTTATGGTAATATATATATATATATATATATATATATATATATATATATATATATATATATATATATATATATATATATATTTCTTACCCCTATTTTTTTTGTTATAAACTGTTTATTATTTGTCATTTAAAATTCATTTTAATATGCCTGCTTTTATTTTCTAATGAAATAATTATCGAAATCTTATAGATATTCGAATTTTACATTTTCTTCTTGTGTTTATTCTTTGGAAAAAAACATCAGTGCTATCGAAGATTTTTATTGATGACATCGAATAAATATATTTTACACATGAATGTTAATATTAACAACGATAATTATTACGATCTATTACGATTTTCTCCACGTTTAACATTAGTTCTCCTGTGAGTTTGTAACATTCGTGTAATTCACTGAGCAGCCACTGGTACGTGAAACTGTTGAGAGTAGCATATCCTCTGGGAAAGTATTGGACCGTAGGAAGAGAATGACTCAAATCTTGGTAATAGGCGTCTTATTATTCCGATTACAATTGAGTCACGCCTTGTGAAAAAGTCAATTGGCGTACAATTAGTCACGATGAGACTGTCTTAAAAGTCGCTAAGTGTTTGAAGAGCGAGACGCCATTTATTCGTCGGGCATCTCTCAGAGATTGGGTGGGTACAGGAGCATATTGTTGAGAGAGAGAGAGAGAGAGAGAAAGAGAGAGAGAGAGAGAAAGAGAGAGAAAGAGAGAGAGAGAGGTTTTTTTTTTCCAAAAGGTGTGCGCATTTGTATGCATGTGGATGTATGGAATCGTTTTCAAAATTCAAAATTATTTGCAGAATTGCGTGTAATTGTGTCTTTAAAGAGGCGGAGTATGTTCTGTCGTAGATTTTTAGTTACGCTCTAACAAAGGCACGTGAACATAGATGAGAAAGAGAGAGAGAGAGAGAAAGAAAGAGAGAGAAAGAGAGGGAGAGAGAAAGAGAGAGAGAGAGAGAGAAAGAAAAAAGAAAGAAAGAAAGAGAAAAACAGTGAAAAAAATTGCCTAAAATTACCAAAACGCGAAGTTCACAACTAACTAAAGAATTAACTGAGATTTATATTTTACGGCTTATCAACCTTTTGCAGGTTATTTAAAGTCAGAAAATATTTTTAGATTGTAACAATTTTTTGGAGACAATAATGATTTACTGATACAAGTCCTACTAATTAACCCATAGCTGGGGGTGAAACAAATTTATTCATATTTTTCCAAGGGTAGGAAAAATAAGTGAATACAACGAACCCCACTGAAATTCGAACTTTGCTCTCCGATTTTCAATTTCGGGTCGATATCCATTACATCAATCATACACCCAAGCTCACAGCACCTGGTATTTCTATGCGGTCACCCTTCTAGGTACTGGCCAGGCTCAATGTTTCTTAACATCTGTGATTGTACGAAAACTGGTGTTTCAACATTATATGGCCGTAAATCTACGAACTAAAGAGATCTGACTTATAACGGATTTGTATTTAAGGAAAAAGTCGAGGTTCTTTTCTGGGTCGGAGAATTACATACGGCAGAAAGTTCGACATAGAAATCCGGAGTCGTTTTGGATTAGCGTATTTTCCCCAAACCTATGATTAGAAACGAAGAAATGCTACATAATATCTATTACTACAATATGGCAATGAATGTTAGACAATTAAAAAGAAAAAAAAATTTAAACCAACCAAGATAAAATTCTTGTGATGAATGTTGAGAGTACCATAGATAGAGAATGTGACAAATGAGGAGGTTTTAAGAACATTTTAATGTCATGCCCCTATCAGGACGTAGGCGATCATGACTCCCCACAAATTCTTTTTCTTTATTATCTCTGAACTGCCATGTATTATTGGGAAATATAGTGGAGTATTTTTCTACGACTTTCTCCAACGTTTGAAATTCAGAGTTTTCCTTCACTTGGACTAATTGACAACCAATTTAAAATTTTTTCAGCCTCCTCTCCTATGTGATCCATAACTCTAGGAGGTATAGATGAAAGCCACTGAGGAGGCCGGAATTTGAACTCGGATCGCCGATTCCACGTTCCACGACGATAATCGTTACACTATCAGTCAAACGAAATCGAATAGGGACTAAAAAAGAAAAATGTGCTTTGATGACATCCACGAAGATACAGCTAACGTTTTTTTTCGGCACTTAACGGGAAAAGAAAATTTGGAGAATTTAAAACTACATTGGTGCAGTTGATTAAAAAAAGAAACAGGGACAGACAGTAATCTACTTGACAAATTTAGAAATGGATTGAAGAAAAATTACTATAAAATTCTAGAAGCTTTTGAAAAAAAAGTCAAAAGTGTTTCTAAGAACAAAAAAGAAGGAAGATGTGGAGAGCCATGATCATTTATCCGAAAAAGAGACAAAAGAAAAAAAGAGAGAGAGAGTCTGTGTGTGTGTGATATGAAATGTGTGTGTGTAAGAGAGATTTCCCATCTGCTGATATTACTTAAGACAATTCAATATATATATATATATATATATATATATATATATATATATATATATGAGAAATTAAATTTATTACAAGAGGAAAAATTATTCAAATTTTCAAAATGAAAGGGAAGTTTGCCTTGAAAATCAGCATTCGAAACCCAATGTTTCTGCCATGTGGTCGAGCACCTCTAGCACTGATGATTTTCCTGATTGCAGAGAAATCAAATGGAAACCAATTTAAGCCTCAAGAAACGAAGCCAGTCGATATTATACATTGAACATATAATCGTAGATATTATACATTGAACATATAATTGTAGATACATTGAACATCCTGCTTAAATAGCAGAGTAGATTGGGCTCTCTAGCCGTGATTAGGAACCAGCCTAGAAGAAGAACGATTCTGAATGTATGGCGAAGCACATACTATACAGCTCTGTGAAGGATTATGGAGAGCATAATTAAATGCGACGCGATGTTGTGGACTGTATGACCTTGACAACGGTCGATCAAGTGAGGTCGGTACGATATTATACATATAGTGTTGGTGCATATATCAGTAACAGAGATTATTATATTATACATTCACTTCTAACTCAACTTTCTGCGTATGGGTTTGCGTATATAGGCACCACAGCATGGCGTGATGGTTATCGAGTTTAGTCTGGTTGACCAAAACTACAGGTTAGTGAGCTCGATCCCTATTGTTTCTCCCGTGTAAAATTCGACACTAGGTAATCTATCAAAGGCTGAGATGCCAAATCAAACAACCTATCAGTTAGGCCTCTCTTCATCAACGATCTTCCTGATGTCAGATTCCCAAGTAGGCATCTACGCGGACGACACTACAATTTACTCCTGCCTCAAAAACAAATCAAGTGTCGTTGACAAAACTAATCTGGCCGTTCGTTTCGAAAAGGACCTCCAATCGGGGCAGGAATTGGCTGGTTAACTTTAAGGCCTCAAAAACAAAACTGCTCTCTATTACTCATCACAGGGAACCATCCCTGCTCACCTCCATTAGAATGTCTGACGCTCAACTTCTCGAGAGCTCCACTTTGCGACTACTCGGTCTCACGTTGACTGCTTACCTGAGATGGAACAAATACTTTGAATCAATAGCTTCGTTCACCGCAAGGAAAGTTGGCTCCCTGTGCAGCGCCAGGAATTTTTTCTCGCCGAAGTCGATCCTTCAAATCTACAAATCAACCATTCGCCCTTGCATGGAGTATTGCTGCTATATATGGTCTGGAGCCCATTCTGTTTGTCTCAAGGTTCTTGATAAGATCCAGAGACGGATATGTAATGTAATTGGCCTTCATCTGGCATCTCGTCTGCAGTCGCTCTCTCACAGATGTGCTGTTGCCTCCCTCTGTCTTTTTTAAAAATACTTTCATGGTAACTGCTCCGATGAGCTGCTTTCGCTTGTTCCCAGACTATGAATTTAAGCGCCCTACGAGGCTTGGCATCTCACACCCTTTCACTGTCGAAACACTTAAATGTAGCCATCTTTTCTACTCCAATAGCTTCATGTCTTGCACCTTTCACCTGTGGAACTACCTCCTCTTTTCCCTGATAGCCATAATCTCCAATTATTCAAATGTAATGTCAATCGATGCCAACAGATGCCCTGATCTATCCCCTATCCTTCTCTTCATCCTTTCCTCTATCACTCCTCTTTGCTATAGCTCCAACTCTCTGTAACCCCTTGCGTGCTAGTGGCTTCCCGCCTTGCTTTGGGTGAAAAGCTTAAAAAGAAAAAAAGATCATCTTAAGAATGTCCATCTCAATAATTGACAGTGACTTGGTAGGTTTATGAATTATTGGGATATATTTTTATATCAGGTTTGCAAAAAATTGCATATTTAACAAAGTTGAAAGAAAAAGTTTTATTTGCTTTTGAGAATTTAGGAGTTTTATCCAACTTAAAATGATATAAAATTTCAAGATGAAAGTTTTTTTTACCGTTTGGAAATTCGTTTGATATTTTTTAAACAACACACAAACAAAATTTGAAAACACACACAAACACACACAAACACATACACAAAACGTATTTTTCTTTAAGGTTGTTTAGTTCATTAATTTAATTGTTCCTGAAGATATTTTTTTTAATAAACAAAATGTTAAAAAAAGAACCAGTTTTTCAATAGGATTCAATGCAAAAAAAAAAGTTAATATACTTATAATCAAAAAATGTAAATGTTGTTAAATTTTCGAAATTTTGTTCGAAAACGAGGCATTTGGAATTTTCGAATTAAAACAGAAAAAACAACTTGTTCGACATTTGAGAATTTCAATTATTATTATTTTTATTTTTTTTTTAAGCGTTTCACCCCAAGCAAGGCGGGAAGCCACTAGGACGCAAAGGGTTACAGAAAATTTGGAGCAAGTTCAGATAGGAGTGATAGAAGAAAAGGTTAGAAGGGTAGTGGATAGATCAAGGCAACTGGAGATGTCGATTGACATTACATTTGAATAGCTGGAGATTATAGCTCACAGGGAAACAGGAATAGGGAAGGGAGTTCCACAGGCGAGAGGTACGAGACATGAAGCTATTGGAGTAGAAGAGACGGCTACATTTAGGAGTTTCGACAGTGAAGGGGTGAGAGCGGGATGCCAGCCTCGTAATAAATTTTGAACTCATGACGTCTGGGAACCAGCGAATGCAGCTCCTCGGAGCAATTTCCATGAAAGTATTTGTAGAACAGACAGAGGGAGGCGACGGCGCGTCTGTGAGAAAGTGACTGTAGACGAGACGCCAGGGCAGGGCCAACTACATTGCATATCCGCCTTTGGAGCCTAATTAGTCTTTTTGAGGCAAACAGAAGGGGCACCAGACCATATATGGCATCAATACTCCATGCACACAAAGGAATTTGTTGATTTGTAGATCTAAAGGATCGACTCTGGGGAGAAAAAATAAAAGCGCGGCTCAGGGAGCCAAACTTATTTTTAATGGTGGACGAGGCAATTCACTCAATGTATTTATTATATTATATTATATATATATTTATATATATATATATATATAAATTTTAAAATATTTTTTTTGTTTTGAGTTAAAGGCTCAAAATATCTTTTTTAGATTAAAAAACATTTATAAAACTTCAATGTTTTTTTTTCAATGACACACACATATTTAAAATAATATATATATATATATATATATATATATATATATATATATATATATATTTATATTTTTGTGGTTTATTCAATTTAATTTTTTTGAAAGTTAATATTTTTAATTTCGAAATAAATGCTTTGTTTTTTTTTTGTTTTTGCAAAGTATAGTAAAATCATTTGGGTTTAGTCTTTGAAAAAATGAAATTTAAAAAAAAGAAATTTGGAAACATGCCGGTGCCGTACTTTTGGAAAATTTTTAAAAAATTTTTTTCAATACGAACAAGGGAAAAAATTTGTTTAATTTCAATCTGAAACATTTATTTGTTCATTAGGATTAATAGTTGATAAAAATCTAATAAATGATTGGAAAAAATATTTATATTTAATATCAAATTGTCACATACTTAACGCTTAATCTCCATCCATTTTACCTTTTTTAAATTTAAATTCAAAACATAATGAATGTTTAAGGCCTTTAATCAATTCATAAAAGAAGCTTTATTTTTCTTTTATGGAAAAAAAAATCTAACCAAAAAAATAACAGGATTGCAACAAATTTGTTATTTTCGATATTACGGACACCGGACTCTCTAGAAATAATTTCTTTTTAAAATAAGACCACGAAAAATTTAGACCGATTTTTTTTTTCTTTTTTATATTTATTTTATAAAAGAATCAAAATATTTTTAATTTATAAATAATATTACAAATGTTAAAGTAATAAGGTAAAAATCGATAAGATCTTAGTTTATATAAAAATAATGGTTATTAAAGAAAATATATACAAATAGCATTATACCCATAGATATGTCAGTAAAAAATAAAACTCGTCAACCATAAAATTCAAGATAATTTAAAAAAA